ACCTCAAAAAAAAAGATTAAAAGGCGTGTGCATGCACGTGTGCACACACCTGCACGCATGAGCCCAAACTCCATGCACTATAGGGTGCTGTTGCTGCTTCTGAAACGAGAGAATTCAAATGATTTTAAGACAAGCTGTGAGCTAATTATGCTCCTGAAAGAGATGAGCTGTGGACAGGTGCTTTGTTCCTTGGCTGCACTGGAGTCCAGCTAGAGAGATTTAAAAACATCCCAAACCAGGGACAGATTTAGCTGATCTGGGAGGGGCCTTTTTATTAGTCTTCTAAATCACCCTATAAATAAATATGCAGGTAGATTGCAAACCACTGGACAAGTTACATCTCGATCAATATCCAAAAGGAGACAATGAAAGAAGCAGTCCTGATTATACAGGCAGAAATCCTCCAAGGAAACACGGAAGAGACTTCAAGATAGTCATATTTCAGTAGCTCTGCTTTTGATAGACAACTCTCAAAGGCTCAGCGATAACATACTGGAGCTTACAAAGCTGGAGCTCACATTCTCGGGGAACTTTACAGCCAATACCCATCCTTCCCACCAAACATGGGCGATCTTCTCTACTGCTCACAGGACTGCAAGGAGAATGGTCACGCCAGTAGTGACTTGGAAAGGCTACTTCCTTAGGACTGACAGGTTTCATCAGTTGCCAGAAGCCAAGCTCTTCCTTAGGGAGCTAAGTGTGCGGAGACCCGGCACCTGTCACAGCAAGGTACTTACTCAGTTTAAGAACTAGGGCCAGCTCGCCAGCAGTGCATCAGGTCTTCTCTCCCACCCTTGCAGGCCAAGCAATGAAGCCCACAATTTTGAGATACAGTTTTTGTTTTTTGATAAGCTATTATTTGCTGTAGGAAATCTGGACACTTAGAGAAAAGCCTAAGAGGGTGAAACTTTCTATTACCCAGAAACAACTTCTACTGGTAATTTGGCCTTTAATCTTTCTAAAATAAAAAATAGGGTGCTATGTACTGTTTGTGTCCTGTCTTCTCCATTTAGCCATACAGAGGGCGCCATTCTCTCATTTTTCCTTCTTGCAAACATTTTTAAATAGCGCCAAATCTGTTCACATGACTGAACCAGACCTGACACCCATCCAAATCTCCACTTAACACTAGAGTGGAATAACGTGGACCAGGATGCTCACATCACGAAAACAAATGACCCCTTTAAGGCTCCTTGCATAGTTTCAAGTTGCCATTTAACAAAATTATATGAATTCACATATGCACCAGTAGTTTGATCACAATACTCATGCCAGAACTAAAACTTTTATCAGCTTGGTAAAATCTTAAATGTTGAATACTTTAACCAGTCTTGAGCCACTTTTTTTTTTTTTTACAATTTTGAACAAATGCAGTCAAAAAATAATTTAGATTTCAAAACTAAAACTTTTAAATTCCCACACACGCATTACACAGCTCAGTAGATGTGGAGCTGTCAGTCCCATTATCATGCTGTCTTCAAATTGTCTGACCCATTATTTCCTTGCAGTTCATTTTGTGAAAATCTGCCACCCAAAAAGCAAATGGTAGATGGGCGCCAATGGCTCATGCCTGTAATCCTAGTTTAGGGAGGCTGAGGTCAGGAGGATCACAGTGCGAGGCTAGCCCAGGCAAATAGTTCGTGAGACCCCCATCTCCAAAAGAACCAGAGCAAAATGGACTGGAGGTATGGCTCAAGCTGTAGTGCCTGCTTTACAAACGTGAGGCCCTGAGTTCAAAGCCCCATCCCACCAAACAAAAACAAAAAGGTGACCCAAAACAAAACGTGAGCTTCACTTATGTGACAGAGTGAAAGAGACTTGTTGAAGGGGGCATGTTTTAGGGATTTGGTTGGTTCTATAGGGATTACTCGAACTCTACTCATCCTGAGCATCCTCAGTTCTTCCTCAAGGCAGCCTCCTTCGACCCAAATACCTCTACAGTGTCAATCCTCATTGTAGCCATTCTAGGTTAGTGTCACCATGCTCTGTCCAGAACCCTTTTGCACCTGCCATCACTCTTCCAGTTCATTTTCTCTCCTGGCCTAATTATCGCTTAGGTGTTTGTTAGGGGGGTGGGGAGGGTGCTGTACCAGGCATGAACTCAGGGCCTTGTGCCTCTGGGCAAATGCTCTACCACTTGAGCCATGCCTCCAGCTCTTTCAGTCAAGTATCACCTGCTCTAGGGGCCCTTTTCTCTTATGTCCCATTAATCCATCAGATACTTAGAGCGCACCATAGCTCTTCCCCATGCACTTACATCTGCACTCTGGCCCTGTTCTTTTCCACCACAGTAGATAGTTCAATAAAGGCAAGCTGAGAGCCTGTAACACACAGGCTGGCACTATCTGATCAATAAATCCCAATATAACAAAAACTATGCTTATAATGATTCATCCTTGGTGTTGAAAATGAACTGGTGTATATGGAATTTAAGTAATAGTTAAGAATACTAAAAAAGGTCAAAGTACTAAGGCTGGATTTTATTGCAGACTTGATACAGGACAGCCACTGTCTTGAAATGACGAGAAAGAGCAAAGAAATCATTAAAGATAGCTTCAAGATTAAAGGTTTAATACCTCCAAGATAGCAAATATGACTGCTATTAAAAAATAGACATGAGTAGAGCGCCAGTGGCCAATGCCTGTGATCCTAGCAGCTCAGGAGGCAGAGAACAAGAGGATCAATGTTTGAAGTCAGCCCAGGCAAATAGTTCACGAGACCTTATCTCAAAAAAACACAACACAAAAAAAGGCTGGTGGAGTGGCTCAACTGGAGCACCTGCCTAGCAAGTGTGAGGCCCTAAATTCAAACCCCAGTGCCACCAAAGAATAAAAAATTAAAAAATGAGCCAGGTGCCACTGGCTCACACCTGCAATTCTACCTACGTGGGAGGCTGAGATCAGAAAGATCATGGTTCAAGGCTAGCCAAGGTGTGACACAAAATAACCAAAACAAAAAAGAACTGGACGTTGTGTCTCAAAGCACTAATAGAGCATCTGCACCGTGGACACCTGTTCTGCAGGTATGAAGCCCGAGTTCAAACTGCAATTCCTTGTTAAAAAAAAAAAAATGGGGCTGCGATGGGACTCAGAGGCAAAGAACTTGTCATCCTCACCACCAGAAAAAAGGAAAAAGGGGGTATTGTGTGACATACAATACACACACCCTCTCCACCCCATCCTCCCCAGGCACAGTGAAGAACATCCTTTTCTGCTTTAGTTACTATTCCGAACCAGTCGTATGTTACTATACTACTTAAATGTGTGAACTCAACATAGCATGAGGTATGGACTTTGGGATGTCTTCCAAATCTAGATCTGATTGTGGACTCTATCAGTAAGTAACTGTGTAATTAGATTACTGTTAATCTTTTATGCATCTCAGTTTTATCAGAGCTAATTGCTTAGAACTGGCTTCATAAAGTGAGGTAACATACTAAGTGTCTCAGAGTGGTGCACACTAAAAGCTTAAAAAAATATGTGACGTTATTCTCTAGAACACGGTCCTAAGCTCAACCCTGACAATGCATATGAAGAACTCCTCACAGGTAGGCACCGTTTAATGAGCTGAAAGTTCATTAAGACCTTATAAACAAGACCAAGTATTATATGTTCAGTACCAATATAAAAGGTGGAATTAGCTGGGCACCAGTGGCTCAGCCTCATAATCCTAGCTATTCAGGAAGCAGACATCAGGAGATTCACAGTTCAAAGCCAGGCAAATAGTTCCCACGTCCCTATCTTGAAAAAATCCATTACAAACAGAAGGATGGTGGAGTGGCTCAAGGTGTAGGCCCTGAGTTCAAATGCCAGTACCACAAAAAAAAAAGTGGAATTAAAGACTATAAGCCCAGACACACAATAGGATCAAATAAATTAATTTCTTTCAGAGAACAAATAAGCAGTACTTATCCAAATTTAACATGTGCATGCATAGTCTGGAATTCAACATAATCTAGTATACAAAAAGAGAGGCTATCTCACATAAGATGTTCTTTACAACATTGTTTCTAATAACCAAAGCCTGCAAATCACTTAACCACATCAACACAGGAACATAACACAAGCCATTATATAACAATGCATATTTATGTGTACTGACATTAGAATCCATCTTCAATTTACTAAAGGGCTGAGAAATGCAGAACAATTTATAAAGTACAATTCATAAGCCGGGAAAAAGATACATGAACCCTATTTTCCTGCAACTTAAAAAAAAATTTTGTAAATGTACCAAAGTGTTTGGAAAGAAATACTTTTCTGGTAGTTCTCTTTGGACAGAAAAATCCCAGCTTAAGAAAACAAGTTTCACACTAATAGTTTGAATTTCCAAAGTTGTAAATTTGTTTATATTTTAAATTTTTGCAGGAAAATACTTGACAAAGACATATTTCTAGGAATCATTCCCACGTTAACAATCTGAAATGGATATAAAAATTTATCTATAAAGATGCTTCCATACAAACATGTTACACTTTTAGAAATTTTTGTATTTCACTAATTTATTTGTATTTGGAAAAAGAACTTAATATCCAGTTAAGAGTATTATCTGTATGAGAACAACTACACATCCATTAAAAGTCATGCTATAGGAATAGGGGGTGCAGCTCAGGAGGTAGAGCACTTGCCTAACAAGTGTGTGAGGCCCTGAGTTCAATCCTGGGTACTGCAAAAAGAAAAAGTCATGCTATAGAATGTTTATTAAAAACTGGGAAATCTTCAGGACAAGTTACAGAATGGTTATGTGCAGTGAAGTTGGCATTAAAAATTATTACCTTTGGCAGGTGATTTTAAACCTTTTGCTTTCAGTCTTTTTTTTCTGGCAAATTTACTAACTTTTTTTCTAATTTACTATAATGATTATGTAATTAGGAAAATCTTCTCTTAAATGATATGCTTACAGCTAGCTCTAAGCTTGCTTTTGAGCCTAGACACTGATAAAACTATGAGCTAATGATTTGGGTATAAATCTAAGAGATACACTCTCAACACATTTGGAAAGAGTTACCATGATGTTTATTTACCTCATCATTTCCCAGGAAACTTAATAAAATGTTAAAGACACTTCTTTGTTTACCAAAGGAATTTATTAGAAAATATTATACACTACACAGTTGCTTAAGAATATTGTTTCAGTAGACAGCACTCCAACCTCATTCTACAATGTCTCAGACCCTAGGGCAACCACTGTGCTTCTGAAGCTACATTTTTTGGAAGGAACATTCAAGTAGTACACACCATGGCCATTTAATGGAAGGTAATGAAGAAAATGTGGTAATTTCCAAGACAACAACAAATAATCACAAAACTTTTGGAATATTAAAGTAATGGGTAACAATTAGTCTCAAAATTCTACACATCTCTAAAACCTAAAACATCAATGTGACTATTAAGTTAAAGGGACCAAGGTTCCAAAGGCTAAGAAAATATTGAATCTTGATAAACAAAATGAGCAATCTGTAACCCCATAAACTGTTTTTAATTAGTTTGCACACATGCAAAGTTAAAGTGAATTTCTGAAAAATAAGCAATAGGGAATGTAAAAGCAATGTATTTTTAACATAAAGCATGCACTTTCTAATTCATTCTTAAAGAATTTCAATTCTAATCAAGTAACGTTCTTCATTAGCTATTTTAAATGCAGTCTACTAGTGCCAACCAGATATAGAAAGCACACTTGTTATTTTCAAGAATCGTGAAAATAATTCATGAGTTCTGCCAAGGATAGAGGGCCTTCTCTTCACCACATCACCTACTTTTCTCCAAAACTTGTTTGTAAAAACTAATTGGTATAAAGGAAAATTTTAAATGTCACCCATCTCCCAATGTCACTAAAAGGAAAATGCAGAGGCATTTATTATGTGATTCATTAGCTCAGGCACAATTTGCTACAAAATTTTCAGTGTGAACCACCCTTAACTCAAAATAGATCACAAATTCACACCATCGTTTATGGAGTTCTGAACTGAAACAACTGAGGAGGTGCACAGTGATATTGAAACACTATCTTTATGTTTTATTAGAAGAATAAAACCAAACTTCTTTCTCCATCATAATCTAAACACACTTTAATTAAAAATATATATGTCAGTAAAACTGTATTACAAATGCCCAGAAATGTAGAATGAAGATCAAAAATTGTTTGGAAATGTTTTTAGGATTACAATCATAACCCAACAAAGCTTATTTAACTGCCACAACCTCTATGGGGCCAACATTTCAAAATATTTTTGCCTATCAAAGCTAGCACCAGGAAAGTATTATGTACAAAAAAACTAGGAAATGGATAATTGTTACTTCAGAAAAGCAGAGTCATACACGGTATTGCTCTTGCTAAATAGTTTAGCAAAAGGTCTGACTCACTGAGGTGTATTAAATTGGATCTATGAACATAAGATCTGAATTTCCAGTTATTCGGTATTTATTAAAAATTATTACTGGAATGAAAGTCACTTTATCATGGAAAGAACTCATTTTTCTTTCAAGATGCCAATTAAAACAATGGCACTATAAACACTTTAAACCTTTTTTTTTGGTGCGACTGGGATTTTTTTGAACTCAGGGCTTTGCACTTGCAAAGCAGGCACTCTACCACTTGAGCCACACCTCTAGTCCTAAACCTACCTTTCATAAAAATTAAGATACTCTAGTACTTTAAAAAATCCCTAGTCCCTGAAAAACTAACTGAAACTCCACTACTTAATTTTCCTCTCCTTTTGTTCAACATAAGTTTTAATGTCTAGAATTCTACAACATGGCTAATGGTCACCAAATTAACACTTCATTCATTATAAAGCATTTGAGGTTTTCTCAAATGTGTAAAGAATTTCATTAGCAATGAGACAGATGAGCAAAAACCTGAAACCAGTGAAGTGAGTCTGTAATTCTACCCTAGTCCGAAGGAAGGAAAGGTCACCACTTAACAGCAATTCTCCAATTGGCACAAAGAATTTATCATCACTGATGGGTAGAAAAGATGAAAGAACATAATTTCTAAAAAGTCAACACTTTTTCCAAATGGGTCTTCTGAATTTGACAAAGACTAAGAACTGCCAAAGCTGTCATCTAGCAAATCAAACTTCATCTCAACTGGGGGAAAAAAGGCACAAAAGAAAAGCAAGCAGCACAACCTTTATTTGGTGATACAACAGGTGAAGAGTGTCTCAAGGTATTTTACTCATGTGATAATCTGTTTTCTATCTAAGCAATTTATTCAGATATGTACTTTAAAAATACACATTAGGAACCCTGCAATTGATATTAGAAATATCATAATGGTAATACATTATTTAACTTTCTATAATTAGAGGGGAAAAGTCATAAAGATACTTTATTTTTTAGCCTGACAGAATAAATGTATTTATATATATATATATATATATCTTCCAAAACCAGTGCTTAGAATTTTCTAATTTATGCATTCCATTGTTCTAATCAAAAAGCTGTACATCTTCCAGTATCCACACTATAACACAATCCTAGTAAAAATGCACAACCCATTAAACCCTTTATTTTCCCTTGAATTTATTTGGGGGGAGGGGTTAGATATAAGTTGCAGTGCAGAACTATATTTATTTAGAACAAAACATTATATTCTACATTAAAAAAAATAATTTTATCAAAACCAAATTTCTGTCACAGTTATGTGTGATCTTCAGTTAATGGTGCAGGTTGCAATTGCACTTTGCAGGTATCTTGACAATGTCCTTCACAGCATTCCCCTTTTCAGCCTATGTTTTTTTCAGTAGACACAGGTTCGTCCAGAGTTTTCTTTTGGCTTCCCTTCCGTGAATATTTGTATTTGTCTACATAGGCTTTAACCAGATTTGCCACTTTAGTAGAATTTACTTCTCCACTCTTACTGTGACAAACCTAAGAAAAAAAAGGGGGGGGGGACTTTTTTCATGCTTGAAGGGATTAAGCAAAATGGAAAGCTTTGTGAAAACAACCCCAAATACAGTCAGACTTGCATATCTCACATTAACTTATTCAAAAGGTAAGAAGCAGGCAAGAATTAGTAGGAGCTAGCTTTTATCAATTAAATTTAAGTATTCCTTTATTAAAATAGAAGTGGGCCAAAATAATATGTACAGAACTCCAATAAAACTGTAACTTACTTTATCTACTGCTTTCCGTACAATCTCTTTATACTCTTCCTTCGTGATATCTTTATTTTGATAAAATGGCTTAATAGCCAACTTCACCTCCTGTGCTGCTTTTTCTTGAATTTGTAATTTCTGATGAGAAGAAAATGTACAATTATTATTTGCCAACCACATATTCTCAAAAAATTTCTTCAAAATATGAAACTGAAAACACTGCACAATGACATTATTACAAGGAACTCTTCACATATGGGTATGACAAATGCAAAATACTTATTTATTAACACATACATCAAATATTTTGAGAAAGAATTCAACAGGCATTGACACATCTAGATAGAACCCTTCAAATAATACTGGAATTTAAGACTCTTCACCATTCATACAAAATCTGGTATTTTTTTCATCTTTATCACATACAGAATTATCGCATACAGGTTACTCTCAACCTTGAACTTGCCTTGTCTGTCTTCGAGCTATCTGCGCTGGCTTCCACTGTAACACTTACTTTGCTTTCTGCCAATTTTACAGCAGCATTAGAGGCTTTGCTGTGACTTGATGACGAAGTATTACCAGAACTTGGTCCCTGAACTGTTCCCATGTTTCCTGGGGCTGCTGTTGGAGCAGGCAAGACTGGTGCACTCATGTTATTACTCACATGAGAAGCATTAGGAATACCCTGTTTTAAAGATTGTCAGTTAATAAATTATTTGTACTCAATATATCTCTTAGTCAAACATTAGGAATTACATTAAAAAATACAAAGCAATTCAACCTTAGTACTTAGAAAACTAGCACTTAAAGAATGATGTCTTTCTTCCAAAGCTCCTTAGGAATACTAATTAAAGTTAAGTGTCCCTGTTTTAAACACTGGAGATGATGAAGCAAGGAGTTGAGATGATATTAGAAAAAGATGTAAGAACTCAAATTCTAACATCCCTTTTTCCTACTACTCTAACAATATGACTGTCAGGATTTTATAGTTTCTAAAGGGCAGACACAAACAAGAAGCAACCCAATGTTTACTAATTATTCAAATTTTCAGTGTCACAGAGGCATTTTTTTTAGATGGGAAATTCATGAAAATCAAACAGAGAAAATAGACAATGAACATCTTTACCTGGTTTGTTCAAACAAGAAAACAAACTTTATCACAGTAGTTAAACCCTAGTTCCTATTACCTTCCCTGAAAAGTTCTATAAAAGAGAAAATTTTTAAAGTACTCTCCACTTGACTCTAGTTTTACTCATAATTTAGTCTTAATCTCACAATCAAAGCTGCTTATATAAGTAATGGTGTGCATGTAATATTATCTAATTTTCCTGAAGGGAGGTTGAGAGTAGGAGCTAGAAAAGGATAATGAAAAAGGGACTTGTAAGGGTCTTACCATAAATGTAACCAAATAATCAACTTTCTGAATGCCAGAAAGCCTCTACTAGCTAAATGTTTTTAACAATTGTTTTGATTAAACTTGAGTTGCTAAAAACATACCTGCAACTGCTTTCCATCTGGTTGTGAAGCAATGTAGTTAACTTGTTGGGATGGTGGGGGTGGGGGAGGAGGTGATGGTAGTCCCTGAGTAACAGTGGTAGGAGCAGCCACCTGCATGAGAGGCACTCCTGTGTGGAGATGCAAGGGTAGCTGAGGATGAATATTAAATGGACTGCGTTGGATGTTCATCATAGGGGCATGAACACCCATTGGATATGGGTAGATATTCACTGGCTGGTGTTGCGCACTCATTTGTTGCTGAATTACGTTCATTTGTGGTTGCATCATATTTACAGGTAGCTGAGAACCATCAATTTGTTGATTTGTTTGGTCTTTTAGATTAGAATCTATCAAAAGAAAAAAAGGTTGTAAAAAAAATCATATTACAAATCTCTTTAAAAACAGAAGAAAAACTGGTTATATTAAAATTAAGGCATAATTAATAGACTCAGTACACCAAAACTAAAGCCCAATTGTTTAATCTGGACATTCGTAAATAATGTAGAATGATTCTCTAACTAAAAGAAAGCATTTGAAATAATTTAAAAGAATAAATTCATATTATACATAAACAGTAGAAAGAACCAGTAGTTCAAGAAACTTACTAGTTAAAAAAGATTATGTAAGACTTAACTGGTTACTAAATTATAAGTAGGTCAATTTTTAGTATTTTCAACAGCTTTTTCTCTTGCAATGTTCTTAACAAGAAAAAACAAAGAAAGATAAATAGTATTAGAAGAGAACAATGATCAATAAAAACTCAAGCAGGTACACCCGAAATAAATGAAATAGAAGTTAAATCCTGCACAGGAGCATCCCAAACTCTTCTTCTACTGTAGCAAACAGGAATAAAATATTTAAGCTTTTGGCAAAATTTGGAATGGGGTAGGGCTAAAAAAAAAAACAGTACTAACATACGTATATATATGTGTATATGTATTTATATAATGCAAAGTGATCTGTAAACAACTAGGATTCCGTTTACCATTATAAAATCTACAAATGTTTCAATTCAAATATGGTACTACATTTATATCTCTTTCTTCAAGTAAAACAGCATCAATAAACAAACAGAATATGTTACCCTGTTCAGTTGTTTCCTCTTCTTGTCTCATCCACCCAGACTGTGGACCTGAAGAATTCCTCCCTCGCCGAGAGTAATAGTTTTGCACATCTTCTGGCAAAGTCTTTCTCACAGCCCAACTAGAAGCAGATGTCCACCCTGATCTATCTGCTGGTGTATCAAAAGAGAACTCTTGCTCACTTTTCCGCCTATAGGGTTGCTGCTCCGCAAACTTAAGAGGATCATTCCCTGCACTATTTGAATTACCTGAGAGGGGTTTTCGGTTCTGCCACCTATTTTCATTCTGATCTGTATGGGCAAAATTACCTCTGTAAGTGCCTCTGCCTCGGTTACCTCTACCCCGGTTAGATACCCAACCCGAACCAAAGTTTTTATTCCAAGAATTTCCTGAATTCTCATTTCTGTTTTCCTCCCAGTGGGACTCTTTTAACTTTTCTGGATTTCTGGTCCTTGGATCAGGCCCAGAATTAATTTTTTCGGTTACCCAACTGGGGCAATCACTTTTAGGCTTGTCGGTAGAATTTGAATCATCAGTATCTGGATTGATGTCATTTTTTTCTTTTCTATTATTTTCGTTCTGCTTGTCTGGGTCATTTCTTCTGTACCGCTCATTTCCTCGTGGACACCTCCAACCATCATTTGTCCATCTTTCCTTCCACCGGGGAGAGTAACTATCTCTTTCATTTCTACCAAATGATGAACTCTTACTTTTTGTTCTCGACCTTGATGGTGATCTAGAACGAGATCTGGACCACCTTCTGGTTCTCCTTTCTCTATCTCGATCTCTTCTCTGACCATCTCGATCATTTTCTCTTTCTTTGCTCCGGGACCTAGATTTTTCTCTTGAGGAAGAATCTTTCACTCTTGACTGAGATCTTTGGTTCTCTCTAGAAGTATCTCTTCTTGGGGACAGTGATTCAGATCTTTTGCCTTCCCTAGTACTATCTCTTTTTGGAGACCGAGACTGAGAGTGCCTCCTTTCTCTTGCCATATCCTTTTTTGGGGACTGAGAACGAGATTTTCTCCGTCCTCTAGCAGATTCTTTCTTAGGAGATGGTGATCGAGACTTCTTGCTTTCTTTTCCAGCTTCTCTTTTGGGGGATGGAGATTGAGACCGCTTCTTTTCTTGGGCAGTGTCTTTGTTGGGAGACCACGTTGTAGATGGAGAATGAAATCTAGATTTTCGAGTACGAGGCTTTTTGGCTTTATCTTTTGTATCTACTGGGCTTTCAGATGGTTGAGATTCAGTTTCAGCCTTTTCATTTGTAGGATCAGAAGATACCTTACTTTCAGAATTCTGTGTCACAGAATTTTCATTCAATTGCTTAGCATCAGCATTTGTGGATGATTCGATTTCAGACTCATTTTGGTCACTGCACAATGAATCACACTCCATAGGTATTGCTTCATTATTGTCCTCACTAAAATGCTTCTCAATCTGCTCATTTTGTGTGGTAAGCAACTCTGTAGATTTGGAATGTTCAGCCAGAGACTCCATCTTTTCTTCTAAAGATTTGTCCAACTGGGTGTTTAATAAATTATCTTCAGAGTCTTGAACAGGACAGAAATTTCCACTTTCTGAAGTATCACACGCTGTAATTATTTCTGCATTTTCAGTTTCAACATGTCCCAGCAACTGAATTTCTGAGCTCTCAATAGATATTTTGTCTACTGTTTGTTTAACTTCACCTTCAGAAGATTCTAATATAGGGCTTTTTACAGTATCTTCTGTTTTTACTGTAGAATCTTTATGATCAATGATTTCTACAGTCAGATTGTCCGCTATTTTTTCTTCACCTATTTTTTCTTCATTAACCACTGATTCTGTATTCTTAGATACCTCACCTAGAGAAGTAGATATTGGTGGGTATACTTCAGTTTTAGATACTGAACCTGAAATAAAATCATTTGGAGGATGATCTGAACATGTAACTCCATTTACCTCTGATTCTGAAGACATAGATACCTGGTCTTGATTTTCCAGTGAATCACTCTCTTTTTCAAAAATATCTTTAGAAATCTCACTTTCTACACACAAAACTTTGGCCTCTATACCTGTATTCTCAAGTTTTTGAATTTCCTCTTCCTGTACAAGCACAGGAGTGTCTTGAATATAAGATTCTGAATACAAAGATTCTACTTTTTCTTCTATATCATGATTCTTGGTATGCTCCTCATTTTCTTCTACTTGTTCTCTGCAACTTTTCAAGCAATTAGCCAACTGATTTTCTACATTTGTTTGCACAGAACAAATGTTACTGCTTTCTACATCCGATTGTTGCTCCTTCTCCACTATCAGTGACGTGCCACATTCTGTTACTTCTTCCTCTACTGAATCACTAGAAGACGTTTTGTCAGGAAGAGGTACAGATCTCCGAAGTTTCTTTTTTACTAAAGGTGTTTTTTTCCCTCTCCTTACAGACTTGCGTTTTGGAGCCTGTCTTCTTTGCTTTTCTGCCTCAGCTGGAGAGGAAACACTTATGGAAGGATTACTATTACCTGGGGCATCACACCCAGAATTATTTGGTACTGGGGATTTCTGAGACTGACTGACTGTCTCAGTTCTCGTATTACGTGTAGATCTCCTTGTAGGCGTTGTTGCAGGTTTTCGCCTTGATCCTCTAGTATTTGATGTACTAGAAGTTTGCTTTTTTTCGTCTCCTTCTTGGGTGTGTGTTAATGCATATCCTTTGCAAGTACCTAACAATATTGAAAACAGTAAGAAGTTTTTTAAAAACGTGTCTCAAAAAATGATAACTGTTTGGCTATACTTAATTTTAGCAATAAAAAGAGTGTAATACAGTGAAACAAAAATAGTTATGAATCAAATTACAATTACATGTAACATCTCACAGCTGAGGTTTTATGGGGGTATTTTTGTTGTTTAAATACTACTGAAGTTACAACTAGATTTGAATCCATGTAGATTTCCTGTTTATATGGAAAACAGGAAAATATGTTCAGTCAGGTAACAGCTATTGTTTTATGATCTGTTATCTAGACAAAAACAGAAAACTGTCGCTATTTATGAATAAAGACTGAGACTACTTTTTCATAAATAATTCACAGATGTCACTCTAAACATCTATGGCTTAGACACCAGAGCCCTAAACAGAAAGGCAACTTCTAGTTAGTTCCTTAAAGTCTTGAAGTTGGAATTCCTTAAAATTGTAGAAGAGATTTTCTAATTGAAACCACTTTTTTTAAATTAACAGACGAAATTACTTATCATGTACATAAGGTTCAGAAGTATATAATACACTGTGGACTTACTAAATCTAGCTAATTAGCACATTCATTAGTGTAGAGTTTATTTTTCAATGGTAAGAACACTTCGCATCCACTCAACATTTTTTAAGATTAAAAGTATTATATATAAACTACATTGTTATTTAAAATATATTTAATAATATTATTGTATATATAAACTATAGTCAGCAAGTTGTACAATAGCCCCCTTGAACTTAGACCTCCTGTCTCACTCAAATTTTGGGTCATCTATTTCCACTCGTCCCTTTCTCCTGGTAATCACAACCCAGCTCCTGGTAACCACCATTTTAGTCACCATTCCTATGAGATCAATGTTTTTAGGTTCCACATGAGTGAAATCATGTTGTATTTGTCTTTTTGTGCCTGTCTTATTTCACTCAGCTATCATCCTTCAAGTTCATCAATGTTATTGCAAAAGGCAAGATTCTTTCTTTTTAATGACTGGATACTATTCCATTTTGTGTATGTATACTCTAGTTCTAATGACTTTAAAAGTTAAGTCACTGTTCAATTATTTACAGAACTATCTAAGAGTTACTATGTTACTTTACAATTTTCTATATCAACCCTCACATTTTTCAAAACTGGAAAAGGCTAGCAATTTTAAAAAACAGAAAAACATTTCACAAACTTTACCCAAATTTTCTAATGACATGGTACTTGGAAAAATAGTTCTTGGCAACACACAAGAAATGAGAGGGAGGACTTCTGTTTCAATATTCCAAGGCATAAAACCAACTCTGAAAATTAAAAACAAAATAAAGACATCTTTGTTTAAATGGTTTAAGAAAATAAAGGCTAAAATAAAGAAATTTTTATTTAAATGGTTTAAAAAACTAAGTCAGCAATTTAAAACCATTAATTCTTCATATCAGATTATCAGGTTTTTTGTTTTGTTATAGGACTGGGATTGGAGCTCACAGCTTTACACTTGCAAACCAGGTGTTCTACCATTTAAGCCACACCTCCAGCCCATTTTGCTCTGGTTATTTTTGGAGATGGGATCTTGAGAAGGATTTGCCCTGGCTGGCCTCAAACTGTAATCCTCCAAATGTCAGCCTCCTAAGTAGCTAAGATTACAGGCATGAGCCACCTGCACTCAGCTGGATTAGCAATACTAATATACAGTATTTAAGCTTTTTTGCCCAAATAATAGCAAATATAAATTCAAGACTATTAATTGCCTGGAGATGACTACCAGTTGGCTGTGAAGAAAAAAATCCTTAAAAAGCATGTTTTTCTGTTAAACTAATGTCAAAGAGATGAAGGCAACTTAATATAGATGTTTCTCTATTAAATAATACTTTGTCAACATTTTGTTTTGCATCTTGATCGAGAAACAGAACATTTCCATCTTTCCAGAAAGCTCCCTTTTGCCCTCTTCTTTCTCTTTTCCAGACCTAATACTGAACTAATTTTTACTGTGATATTAAATTTTAAAATGCCTGATCTGAGGGTGGCTCTCAAAATTCTCAGTGTCTCTGGGGAACAGCTAAGAGCCCCCCAATTTTTTGTATTCAAACCCAATTCACTTCTTTATGCTCCCTTTTCTTATTCACTTATGTTCAAGTTAGGTCTCCTAACAAAATACTATTTTATTCAGTATCAGGTGAGATTGTGAAGTGGAAGGAGAAAACGTGGCAATCAATGTGTGCCTTGTATCTGTACAAAACCCTGTAACTATAAGGAAGGAAAGGACTCATAGCACACATAAGTGCACTTTTGTTGCTGTTTGGTGTGACAGTACTGAGGTGTGAGCTCAGGGCTTTGCCCTTGCAGAGCAGGCAGGGGCCACTGAGCGTGCCCCAGCCCTGGACTTCCACATCTTACTTCTTCTATTCATGCTCCCTCATTATTCTGTCAGTGAAGGCCCCACACAGAGCTGTGTCATAGAAACAGTTAAATATAGCTAAGACATGTTATAGGGGATGAATACAAAGCTCTGGAGGAGTCCTTAATTTTTATGTAGGAGTTTGTTTCAAGTATGCAGTATGTACATGGCACTGTGCTAGTAGCTTCAGGATTTAAACTAAGAAAGGAAGAACTAGATTACAGAAAGTCATGAATGTCAGGAAAGTGCAGGCATAGAGAATGGAAATATACAAACAGTGGTTCAGCAGACAGACATAGGTCAAAGTAGAGAGGGAAAGGAGTAGAGGAAGGCCGACAGGTCTGAATGCTGTTACTAATAATGAACCCTTCCCAGTCTTGTGCTCTCCCCTTGATTCCTTACTTTCCAGGGAGTCCTTTAAGTTGTAATATTCATTAGGCATTTGATACGCCAAAGTTTACTTTACACAAGAATTTCTCAGAAGCATAAGAATTAATGATATCTATGTTTATATTAGCATGTAAGCACTTTTTTACCTTCCAATTCCAGGTAATGTACCAGGAAACCATGACAATTCCAATTCCTGTCTCTTCTGCCTAATCAATGTGCTGATTTCATTGACTTCTATAAATTCTGTACTAAAAGATAAATTTAGACTTTCATCAGAATTCCAAATATTAAAAGTTTAAAGTAATAATAAGTTATATCAAGAATAGAAGCAGTTTTCACACTTAGCATTATGGATTATACTTAGAAAAATAAGAACTTTTTCCTATTTAAACACTCAAAAATAAACTCACCCCTAAAATAACTAAAATTTTTACATGGCAAATCAAAACAACATTGAATCCTTAAAAATAAGGCTTAAATTTCTATCTTAAGTGACATATTTTTGTTTGTTTTTTGAGACAGTACTGTTATGTACATACTCCAGACTGACCTTGAACTCACTGCAGCAGCATCCTGAGTACTGGGATTACAGGCATGTATCATCACACCTGGCTTAAGTAACAGAATTTTTACAGTCACTTCAGACTAATAACTACTACTGATAGAATTTCTAGGTGCAATGATTTCCCATTTTGAAGCAGACAATAAGACAAAAGAGAGTCGTCATCTTTCTCAGTTTTAGAGACAATGCACTTTCAGTCTACTGAAAGTGTACGTTCCTAATAAACTTTGTTATCATTTTCACTATATTTTCGTGTTTGCCCGAGTTCTAGTCTTGCTGGACTAAAGAACAGAGGCCACAGAATGACAAACAGTATGACTCAAATTCTGACTCTATTAACCTCCGCATGGCTCCTCCTCCTCAAACACAACTATGGCTGGTTACAATCTCCAAAGAATATAACTCCTTCTACAGGGGACACCTGGATCATCCATGACCTAGGATCCCAGCTATTCCCATCAACAGAATAAGGACAAGAGACTCCTGACCTAGGCCTGTGACCCACACCTATAGAAGATCCCAAAAACTGACTTCCACCAACCTTACCCTAAAAGATTTTAGGTCTCTAGTCCTTAACTGGGGAATGTTAGGAAGCAGTTAGCCATGAGTGATGGGGATATGCAAAGAAAACCTAAAATGGAGGATTCTTCATTATCTCCAAGAGAAAAATACTTAACAGCCTCTGTTAAGATCAAAATAGCCCATGAAGGTCATGGGATGTCACATCCCATGTTTGAATCTTCCACCTACCCTAAGGTGGAAGACATCAAACAGTTCCTATAACGATATTGAATTTAACTCTGTATAATTTTAAAACCTCAGCTTAATCTTTCAATTCCACAAATATCTATCCAGCACTACCTGCCAGTCACTATAGACTCAAAGATGACTATCTGTTGTTAATAGCCTATTTTCCTATCATATAACAAGACTGCACTGAGCAACTTATTATTAATAAAACAAAAGCCACTGGCATGTGGCATTAAGAAGCTCACAAAATACCAGGTTGCCTCTTAGTTAGAGCTGGTTAGTTTTCCAAAAGAAACAAAAAACAAAGTGAGCTTTCATAATTTTTATCAAGCCCCAAGTTTAAATTTCTACCAAAAGTTAATCGTAACAATTAAAACATCAAGTATAAATAACATAAATTAAAAGTTAAAAATACTAACCAATAAGCTCTACAGGTAAAAGAAGAGTCTCCAGTGTGACTACTAGAAGAAAACATATTGGAGAAAAAGTTTCTGAAGCAATGACTTGTACACTGATATGATCTTCGAGGCTAGAAATGTAAAAAGTAGTTAGTGAAACAGTAAACACACTTAGGTTAATAGTTACAATAAAATATTTTTGTATATTTGAGGGCACTGGAGTTATGTACTAAACAACTACAAACTGTTATTATCTAAGAAAAAGATTTTTCTTTATTTCAACAAACCTTATCTATCTTTATTGCTGCATTTTTCTTTCCTCCCACTTTATTGTTTGAAGAGTTTCCTGCATAAAGACACAAACGGACTTGGTTACCTTTTTTTTATTTAAAAGGGCTGTGCGTCTTTGACACTGGTAGGAAAAAGTTAAAGTATATGGAAAAGCTACATTTCTAATAATACTTGCATCTATACAATTTTTCCATACGCTAATTTCATCTTATCTTATTAAAGCAGAGGTAACATTAAAGGCCACATACAAGAAAACTACTATGCTAGAGTATATGAGTATTAAAATTCTAGTCAACATTTCCAGATACCCTAACTTGTAATAAAAGGTATGGCATAGATGTTGTCAAGCTATTTAATGACAATAATAAACATTTCCTTTCCATATCTAACCCAGAAGCCAGGTATTAGCTCATCTTAAGTAGGAGATGTATACGTATACCCTGTGACACAGATCTAAAAAAGATGGTGCAATCCAGGTGCCAGTGGCTGAAGCCTGTAACCCTACCTAATTAGAAGGTTGAAACCGGTAGCATCAAGGTTCAAGGCCATCCTGGGCAAATAGTCTGAGACACCCCACATCCAAACTAACCAGAACAAAATGGATTGGAGGTATTACTCAAGTGGTAGAGGGCCTGCTTTACAAACATGAAGCCCTGAAGTCAAACTCCAGTCTTACCAAAAAACAAAAAGATGGTACAATGATTCCTTAAGAAGCCAGGAGTAAAAATGTTTGGTTAGGTACTAAACTACATTCTTAGAAAAAAACATTTTTGTTCATATAGACACGGAATTGCTATGCTGTAGTTACAGTGTCTTCTGTGCCCTAAGGGTGATGAGCTGCTTTGATTCACTTAATACTTAATAACTATACTAAATGTTAGTGATTTTTTTTGGGGGGGGGGGACAGTTTGAACTCAGGGTTTTCTGCTTGCAAAGTAGGTGCTCTACCACTTGATCAACACCTCCAGTCCATTAGTCCATTTTGCTCTGGTTATTTTTGGAGATGGGGTCTCATAAACTATCTGCTTGGTCTGGCCTCAAACTGATCCTTCCAATCTCAGACTCCCAAGTAGCTGGGACTACTACATATTGTTTACACAGCATTTGTTCATTCTTTTACTTGGAAGCCTCTCACAAGCCATCATCAAAAAATGCTCTCTATGGAAAGAACTGTTAGTTTTCTGGCCAACACTAAATACTGAACAGCAGCAAAGATAACCTCTCAAATATTTTGAATTGGTGGATTTCTCTAAATTGTGGTTTCCTAGAAATCATTTCACAAATCTACCCCATTAATCTGCCCTTCCACAGCAGCCATATGTCTTTGCATTTAATTTTTCTAAAGACAATGTATGTGCATATTTTAAGAAGACACACAGAACTTTTGAGCTTATGAATCCCAACTACAGAATGATCTGCTCTTGATTTTTGCTTACCAAAAGCACTCATCAAATCCTTTAACTGTTTCTTTTAATACTGGTCTCTATTTATAAATCACATCTCTACCTTGACTGACTGGGCTTCAGATTTTTTTCTTTATACCACTGCCCTACCTTTTATTATCCTATTTGACACAGCAATATATCAACACAATATAGCAACATTATACCTATATATAAGCATTAATCACAGCTGAACCATGAGCTGACTTCTGATTGCTTTTCTTAAACAACTCTTGCTTTTCCTAAGGTTAATAACTGTTTTGTTTCCACTTTCTTATATTATCTACCATTAACTTAGCTAACTCTACAACAAAAGTATAATCTTGTTATACACATATCAACTCATCTACCAAATCTGTTCCCTACTCCCTCTGAAATACTCTTCTTTGGTCCTGCTCCAGTCTGAACTTATAACTCCAAAGCTATTGTTCAAGAATTCTGGATTGTCCTGGGCCATCATCCTAACACACTAACCTCAAAAGATGTTTCATAAAAACATCCTTTTTGTACAACAAAAGTTTTAAGTTTATAGCCCAGTTTTTGGCAGGTACTCAGTTTGATTAATTGATTCCAAAGTTAATAAAGACAATTAAATAGTCAGCATGTACTTAAAGAAGCATTACATTTTTTTAAACAGTCTAAAAAGAGGAATTCTCTTTTTGTAAAGTACATCAATTATAAAGGATTAAGCCACACTAAACTTAATGTTGACTTCAGGAATCAAGGAACAGGTGAAGCATATGCTAACATTCCAAAATTCCAAAAAGCCTAAAATCTGAAACACTTCTGGTCCCAAGCATTTTAGACAAGGACCTCTCAACTCATACGTAAAGAAGGCTTATAACAGCCGGGCACCAGTGGCTCACGCCAGCCCGGGCAAAAAAAAGTTCATGAGACCCTATCTCGAAAAAGCCTTCACAAAAAACAGGGCTGGTGGAGTGGCTCAAGGTGAAGACCCTGAGTCTAAGCCCCAGTACTGCCAAAAAAAAAAAAAACAAAGAAACAAAGAAAGAAAGAAAAGAAAAAATCTTAAAACAACAAAAAATCAACTAGGATCAATTATTTGGGATGATGGAAAAATGAAATGACATTTAACAAATTCACTAAGTGTGCTACATAACCTTTCCCAATACCTCAGGTAAGGAGGTGTGGCTCAAGTGGTAGAGCGGCTGCTTTACAAGCACTGAAGCCCTGAGTTCAAACCCCAGTTCCACTAAACAACAACAACAAAAAATCCTCAGGTAAGACAATAGTAGCTTCATTATATGAGGAAACTAAGTTATAAAATTTATGGAATTTTACTAAGATCTCAGTTTTTTTTTAATAGAAAAAGCCAGTATACAGCCTAAGTGGCTTGACGTCCAATTAAATCATCCATTAGGCCTGCTAGTATTCTCAGTAAAGTTATACTGTATTTATGGAGTATACTAATAATTACTAATCTAGACATAAGAATTTCACAATTTCATAAACTACTCATTGGCTTGAGTAGAATATAACGTAAAAATGAATAGCATCTAGTAGATATCTAAGCAATCCTAGGAAAAGAGACAAATTTTTCAAGTTCTTTTATAAAGAGAAATTTAAGGCTAGGTGTGGTATTTTACATCTGTAATCCCAGCTACTTGGAAGCTATAGATAGGTAGGATCAAAATTCAAGGCCAGCCCAGGCAAAGAGTCAGTGAGATTCCAAATAACTGATATGAAAGTTAAAAAGGTCATAACTAAATATATTTATTAAGTGTAAGAAGCACTACATTAAGAAATGTCTAAAAAGGGAATACTCTTTTTTTAAACTACATTAATTATAAATGATTAACCCAAACCAAATTTAATGTTCATTTCAAGAAACAATGTATCAAGATTTCAACAACTGAACTGGGGACAGGGGTACACATTTGTAATCCCAGCTAGGTAGGAGGTGTAGATAGGGAGAATTGTGGTCCAAGGCTAGCTCTGGACAAAAAGCAAGGCCCTATCTGAAAAGTAACTAACGTACAAAAAGAGCTGGGTTAATAGCTGAAGTGGTAAAATACAGGCTCTGAGTTCAAACCCAGTACCACCAAAAAAAAATTTTTTTTAAATTTCCTTTCAGCTATACCATGCTTACTGTTAAGTGTAACTGGGTAAATAAAAATACATACTCAATCCATACAACCTCCCACTAATTATACTTTCACCTTAATTTTGCCTACCTTTACCTTGTTTAGTCACAAAATGCCAGCAAGTAAGGGTACAAGGTTGCTTCTCTGTTGTATGTTCATTACTACTCCTAATTTTGAAACAATTCCAAGAAACATTTACAGGTTATCTCAGAGACCTCTAATGAGGACAGTATGAAAAAATACTATCCAGGAACCCTCATAGGAATATGAAAAATAAAAGGGTTTTTGGTCTTATATCTATAACCCATCAGCCTGAAAAAGAGATGGATATCACATTTCTGAAAGTTAAGACAAAAATTATGGTTAATTTCTCTATTAAATAGAGAACAGATATTATGCTATCAAAATGATATAGCTTTTAGTAATAATGATATAGCTTATAGTAATTAATGATAATACATTAATTACTTTTGAGCTCAAAAGTGCATCCAAAAAAACCAATCAGAATATGGCAAGAATTAAAATTACTTAAGGACATAGACAATTATGAAGTAAGAGACTAAATGTAACATTAAGAATATCATGCTTGTGTGGCAATAGGAACTTGATACAGAGTCAGAAGACTGGATCAAATTCTGGTTGCTCCAGTTATTACCACTATAATCTTAGAATGTTTGATTTTTTTAAAAAAATAGTTTGAGATTTGTAAGTATGGACAATTTTGAACATTCTAAAATGTACAAAAATGATAACTACAGAGCAGATAAACATCTAGACATTTTTGCTTTATATTTCTTACATGCAGATACAACTGAGGCCCAACAGCTGTAACTTTGTTTATCTCTTAGTCCTCTACCTTTTTTTTTCGGTACTGGGGCTTGAACTCAGGGCCTACACCTTGAGCCACTCCACCAGCAACGTTTTGTGTTAGGTATTTTCGAGATATGGTGCCCTGAACTATTTGCCTGGTTGGCTACAAACTGCTATCCTCTTGATCAATGCCTCCTGAGTAGGTAGGATTACAGGAGTGGACCACCGGCGCCCAGCTCAGTTCCTTCTTTATTAGAGGTTGGCATCATTCCCATACATGTTTTCTGAATCTTAGTTTTCTTCTATCTATCAATTAGTTGCCTTATTATCAGGTAGCTGTGGCCAAAGGCCATTACTACACTGTATGGTACCCTAGAAAATGCTACACTGTAAAAAAAAAAAAAAAAAAAAAAAATCACTACCTTCAAGGCAAAAAAAAAAAAAAATCTGCAGAAAATATAATATATTACACTGAAAGTAGCTGTAAGGCCTACAATTATCTTATGTACAACTGGAGGAAGAAAACCCTAGTACTTACTTTAATTACAGAAAATTTAAAATAAATACAAAAGTAGAGAGGATGTCATAGTGAAAAGTCATACCCATATCAACATCCAATCATTAATTCATGATCAATTGTATCTGTTACTTCCTTCATTTCATTTTCAAACAAATCCTGGACATGGAATTGTTTTCAA